TATCAAATAAAACACCACAGCATATTCTATCCATAAAGCTATAAATAACATTTCAATAAAGGAATCTATTCATTTATTCGCAGAAAATCAAATTAACACTCCATTCAAGGTTTTGTAGCTGTCGCTCCTCAATCGTATTAAGGTTTTGTTTTCAATAAACGCCGGTTATCATAAACACAGACTCCGACTGGACGATACTGTAAAAACGATGCCCACAGTGCAACGAGATATCTTTGTTGAGATGAGGCGCCGTATTGTAAAGCTTATCTGAATCTTTGTTTGCTCTAGAATATAATGCAATTAGCTTCCTCGTCCATCCTAAATTTTATATGCGCTCCCTTTAGTCAACAAATATTTGATGCTACTATTCTTAGCAGCATTTTAAAAATTAAAAAATATAATTATAAAGCGTATTCATGAAAAGACACGAAACTATAAATATTTCACATAATTTTGTTTCGATGCCAAAGTATGGAAACCGAGAAGGGTCACGACAAACATGTTCTTTTTTTAATTCTCATGTTTTGATAATGAATCTACTCTTCCCCATAAATAGAAGCAAAATGAAATGCGCATTTAAATTGTCACTTGAAAACACAAATAAAAAGAAAAACACACACAATTGAAATGAAAAACACGAATCGAATACAAAAGTAAAGAGAAAGTCAAAGTGGAAAAGATTCTTTATTTTGAGTTATGTTTTTTTTTTTTTTAATTTTAGTTTTACTTTTCCATTTGATTTGTTTTCAATTTGGATTTTTCGAGATGCCGAAGCCCATGCTTGCACGCATCGATGGACTGGCGATTTGTCTCAAAGCTCATTTCCACAATGTCAAACGCTTGTACCAGGCGTCCAGAGTGCGAAAACTCTAAACACGACACGAAATAACACGACTTCTATTTGGGGATCCAAAAATTCATGTGATTGAAGATTAATAGGATAAACAACGCATGGCCTATTAAATATTGCGCATATCGACACATTCATTCAGGGCTCGATCGCATTAGAAAAGATTAGTGGAACTTTCAAGTTAGTTGTGTCAGTATAGAACATAATAAATATATAGTTCACCATTCCAGGTAACCAGGCCAAGTCTAAAATAAATGACTAGAAATATGCTTTTGTATCAATTCTAATAATTTATATTTTCTACATCCATTCGTGAATCTAAAATACTGCAATATTTACAAGTTTTACATTCACTGCATTTCAAATGCAAGAATGCATTATATGATTAAAGCGGGGAGTCGTCAGCTGCGCATGCGTCAGATGGCCATAGCGTGTCATTGTTTACAAACAAGCATCTACCATGAACCTTTGCGTTTTTATCGTGTGTTATCGTAGCTTGGACTCAATTCCCGCTTTAACTCTATTTATTCACTGACTTTTGACCATACACATTTAGACATTGAAGAGATAAAGCCCAGCAAATAATTACGTATTTTACCCTGTTCCCACAACGCCGATAACGCAGCTTAGTCAGTATTAAAACAACAACATATATTACAGACGCCGACGCAAGCCCCCTGGAGCCGATATTACTTAGTTAGGCCCCTAGGTTGGGATTATTCAAATTGAATGTGCCACCCCCAACTGCTTTGTTCAACAAACTTAGAAGAAACGGGAAAGATTGAAAGAACTAGGAGAACATAAATATTAAATATTACGAAAATGTTGTAATCTTGTTCAATGTTCAACTATTGAAACTTGCTGGTATTCTCCGGTAATCGCATTCGGCGGGCATGTTGGGTTGTGCCTAGCTAAAATAATATGCAGTTGTTATAAAACAGCATACACTATATTGCCCGTTACATAATTCCAGAAAACAATTATCTCGGTGTCATGGCGGAAGCCATTTTATAACTATATTTTTTATATATTTGCTACTACTGCACTGCATTGTCTGATGTACAATTTTGAGACACGAGGAAACCCTTTTAACAATATAAAAATTTTTTTTCAAAATTGGAATTTTCATTAGTGTTTGGCACATTTTGGTGACCATACTTTTTAGAATGTTGCCTAATTTATGCAAATTGCACATTTAATTGGTTTGAACTTCAATCCTCAAATATTTAAGTATGTTCTTTTACCAGACCAAGCAACAAATGACATTTGATAAAAAAAGAAATTGGTAATTTATGCAAATTAGTATGCACAGATTTTGCAACAAATTGTATAGTTTTAGGTAAATTAGATCATTAATAGGTATATTCTAACACCAAGCTCAGCACATCCGTTTGGCAATATATATACAAGTTTCATTTAAATCGGTTTAGTGGTTTTTGAGATATCTGGAAGTCTAATTTATGCAAATTATATAATTATTAAGCAAAAATGTCAAATCCAAACGAATATTGTATGTGCAAAACCAAGAAAATGTATGGACTAACTTTCATTAAAATTTGATAAATGGTACTGAATATATCTAGGAACAATTAAAATTGACTAATTTATGCAAATTAGGTAATTGGTAAGCACAGATTTCAGCGCATTGTCCTGGGTATGTATTTACCAAGTTTCATTGAAATGCAAATAATTTCTGAGATAACAAAAAAAAAATGAAAAATACCTAATTATTATGCAAATTAGGACATTAGTATGCAAGATCAAAAGTAAAAACTGATGTTTACATATTGTCTTAGCAATTTAAGTACAAAGATTCATTGAAATCCACTGAGGGTGGTAGGAAAAAGTGCTTTGGTCAGTCACAGCCCCTCTAACCTTTTCATGTCCAGAAATATTGAAGAATATAAGAAAATAGTGCAGAAAAATCTGGGCGAGAAAGTCTGGTGGTGAAAAGGCTATAGACAAACTTTGGGACAAAGTACAATACTAGTTATGAAAATATTCTTTTGGCAAAAATGTAACATACCAGCAGTGTGCCTTGCTCAGACTCTTATTTTTAGAATACATCTAGTGCCCTTGTATCAGTGTAAAGAGAATACAGACCTGCTTCATCAATGCATGACATGGCTGCATGCTTTTTGAAAATGTTTGAATGCGAGATGCTTTTAAGCTAATACTAATCACATCTGTACATTGTCCTTGAACATCTATGTACAAATTGAAGGCAATTAGTTTTTTAGAAATATTGGTGTAAATGCTTAAAATTGACTGATTATGCAAGTTAGGATTTTAATCAAAACTAATCAGGGTTGTGCATTGTCTTGGAGCATCTACTGGTATATACCAAGTTTCATTGAAATTCATAGAGGAGTTCTTGAGATAATGATGGAACAGACAGACATGTATACACACTAAATACAAAGATTCCCATATTGTCTGCAAGATTAAGCTAACATTTTGTAGTGATCAGGGGGGAGATTTCAGATAGCATAGCATACCTACCGTAATTAAAAACTACATTTGAGAAAGGATTGACAACCTCATGAAATTTGAATGATCAAAATGAAAAGTTCTCAAACAATATCATTATTTATTACATTAAAATTTTTACATGTCTGAAACACTAAATGAAATCAACTTATTTGTATAAAAATATGGGTTAAAATAAATGTATTAAAATAAAGGCAATGCTGTGTTTTCCCCATTAGTATTATGTTCTGTACAATGAGAGAAACTAATCCATTATTAAAAAACGGAGATTGTAAAGCATGGGTTACCTTAACCCACATGCAATACAAACCCAATGAAGGGTGTTCACTTTTCTTTTCTAGTCAACTGCTAACTATATACAAAATGTCAGACATGACATATGATATTGTATATTCTATGTTTTAAGGCAGTTCACACCATATTCAAATTCTGCACTACTGAGCCAGCTACAGTGCATGTATATAATGTTTTAACAGAAAAGAACTTTCCATTATATACAAATGAAATCAAGTATCACACTGGAAAATCACTAAATTAAAATTCAATTTTCAAAATGACATTACATCTTGCACACACATCCTGGGTCGCCTTCTGAATATTCACGACACAAACTGTCATTACACTGTGCACTTCCCCATATTCTTTTTTTTTTCCACATATATACAGTCCAATAGACTATTTCCCGATCACTGCGAGAATCACATGTTATGCGTGAAATCAAACGTAAAAACAGAACAAACGTAGTGGCGCCAAACATCGCGTGGGATTCGACAAACACGAAAATATTTTGGGGGGCATTTCCATGCATAACAATGTGCTGTACACATTCGATGATAGACAATTTCGTGTAAGTGAGGGTATTCGAAAGCAATATTCCTCTGTCAAAGATCGGTCGGTCGATGTGAGCTAAGAAATAAAGAAATTCGAGTTCAAAATCAAATCGTTTGATTTTTGCGGCAGACGTTCAACGCGCGTCTTTCATGCATCTCGCGAGATCTCGCAGTTGAACGGAAAATCACCTATTTACAGTTTACATTTATATCACTTTTCATTTTCACAACAGTGTCTGGTGTCATACTTTACCCATAATCCTTTGCTGCAGAAATAACATGGTGGGCCACACCATGGTGGATGAAAAATTCTAAAGAATTGAATGGAATGGAAGTATTATGTAATTTGTAGCTGGCAATGCCTGGCAAGCAAGCACAGTCAAGCAGTTTATTGACCACAAAAATAGACATGAACATAGAAGATCAACATGTATGAATTATGGAAATTAGTTGATCACAATGACCCAAAACTTTATTCAAAGTTAAACTTTTTCAGTCCGTTGCCAAGAAACTATTGTTTTATCATTGAACAACATTCTGAAGAGGTTTTATCATGAATGAGCTGTTTCATTTTGCATACTTTGTGAAATAAACAAAATGGTGGCTCCCATTGATCAGAAGTGCAATATTTTCAAACTATATATAAGGATATATTTCCATATGATTCTATATATACAGATGGCTTGGTCACTCACACTGCACTTGCTATAATGGATTCATATCAGCAATAATAATGATCTCATGACACCAAGCAAAATTAAGAGACACAAAGAAATAAATTCACCATAGAAACTAGTGTGAAAAGACAAAATTTTCCATGTTCATGCATAAAAAAAGATGACACACAATCTTTAATTCAACCTAAAACTCATTAATATTCAAATCATTTGGTATTTGATATTTTTTTCTTTTCTATCATTTCCATGAGTGCTGTCTGAATGCTAGGTGCCACTCCCATCTGTGTCAGCATACCAAGTGGATCAGATTGACCATCAATCAAAGCAGTTATTGCCTGAAAAAACATAGAATAATATTTCCATAATATCCCCTCTCATCTCATCTCATCTCATTTCTTTTCATTTCATTATTTACATAACCAGACATTGTAATTTGTGAAATATCTGTTTACGACTCTTATACAGTTCGAAGCACACATCGGGGACTCAATAATTTAAGCTTGCAGTATGGAGTTCATAATGATTTTATGGAGACCGTACTGTTTGCCTGATTTGGCGAGTCATATAGCAACAGACATGAAACAAAATAGCGGGATGTTGATTTGCCAAGATATAGTGCAGCGAGTACTCATCAGCACAGAAGGAAAAATATAAACAAGCAGCCTGTAGGCTGAGATAGCTCCACTGTTAGCAATGCACATTTCAATTAAAGAACAGAATATATCATTAGAAAATGAACAATATATGTAGACTTGCTGTTTTTAACAAGAATTAGAAAATATCACTTTTCACCAAAAATGACAATAATAATCATCAAGATTAGATAATTGAAGATATCACCACGAAATTAACAAATCTGAAAGAGGACCACATGTAGTACCTATATATGTAATATCAAAGCAATTAGACTTGCGGTTTTTAACAAGAAGTCGAAAATATCACTTTTTACCAAAAATGACAAAAATAATCATCAAGATTAAATAATTGAAGATATCACCACGAAATTAACAAATCTGAAAGAGGTCCACATGTAGTACCTATATATGTAATATCAAAGCAATTAGACTTGCGATTTTTAACAAGAAGTCGAAAATATCACTTTTTACCAAAAATGACAAAATTATTCACCAAAATTAGAGAATTGAAGATATCATTACAAAATGAAGAAATCTAAGAGAGGACTACCCAAGGTACATATACACCAAGTATCAAAGCATTCAAGCTTATAGTTTTCAAGAAGAAGTCGAAAAAGTAAAACATTGACACGGACGACGACGAACAATCACTCATATGATGAGCTCATCTCGACAAAGTCAACAGCGGAGCTAAAAATAAAGACTATATTATATACAGTACCTCTAGTTCATCATCTGATAGTACTTTCAAAGCATTCTGAGTCTTTGTCTCAATTTCATTTTTCAGCATATCAGTTTCAGCTTGCCTTTTTTCAACTTCAAGTGCAACCATATCGTCTTTTAGCGTGGATATTTCTTTGATAAATATAAAACATTACTGTTATTACAAACTAGGCATTCAGAGCATGTCAAATAGACAAATCTAGAAGGTGTACATCCATTCCGTATGTTTTTTTTATTAAACAATTTTATGCTAAGTGACATTTCAGGATATAGAAATTTCTGCTATTCCTCCATCCCTTTTTGTCTTAGGTCCTAATTTCAATACATATTTTCCTAGTCTTCGAAAGCTAATACTGCAAGTTATGTTGCTGAGTGAACAGTTAGTTCTGGAAATGTAACCCAGAATCTTTCTGATGGAGATTAACAACTGTATTATCGCTCAGGTGAACTTACTATGAGTGAGCACAAAACCATTGATAAAGAGAATTTAGGCTCCCAACTTTTTAACAGCTTAAAGGTTAAAAGTTCAAAATGCCCAATAAAAAATAATGAACAAAAATGAAGCAATAAAATCTAATTTATATATTTATAGGTGTACTTTTTTTTAACCTATAATGTTTCCGTTCTATTCCATGTGAGTGAGTTAATTGTAAGGATAAGAAAAAAAAGAAAGCCATCCAATAAATCATACTTATTTTTATATTATACGTTTCCTGTGAACTTGAGAATGAGAGGTGAGCATGGCCTTGTTAAACTGAATTGCTATCACCTTCCTGAGATCTGAGATGGAATTACAGTTGTAAATTTAATATGAAGACTAGTAAACGACTTATATTAATAAAATTGATTTATCTGAACTCTATAATTTTCACTGAATTATTGCAGATATCAGGTGTGTAATACTTCAAAGCGTTTGCATTCATGTAATCTCGCCTGTCACGAATGTTTTACAACATTACTTAAACTAATATGTAACAATACCGCAAAACAAAAATTATTCTTTTATTCAACTTATTACAAGCAGTATACTAGTACATTCAAATCAGTTTTAATAAATCTCTACAACTGAACTCGAGGCTAACCGAGGAGGTGGACTATTACGACTATAAGTATACCTGGTAGTGTTTTCTAATGTTTAAAGTTGCAGGTAACTAGGGAGTTGAAAGTTTTACAATGTGCAATGTTGACACCTTCAAGGCAATGACGTTGTTCTTGATTTAATAGGATCATGAGTAAAGCCTGCTTAAAAAACACTGCCAGAACACAAGTCAGAAGCTAACCATGCACAGGCCAATTAAAGGTCCAAAATTTAAAATTCACAATCTGATGACCCAGGGGAGTCAACACTTAGATCAAAGCGCAGAGAGATTAATTAATCGTATTAGTATTTTGAAAGTAATGCATTAACCATTGTGTCGATTCACACTGTAAAATAACTTTTTTTTTCTTTTTGAGATATATCACAGGGAGCCCAGGAACTATAATCAACTGTAATACGCAGTCTCTATGAGCGGGCAGGGGGGTGGGGGGTGGGGTATCGGCTGGTATCTAGTGTAAGGAATAGACAAGGGATGAAGGCTCCAGCCAGCTCACATTTTTTAAACTCGAAAAAACAGACGAAAAAAATAAAATCTAAAAAAAATACCAGGTTGAAGAATATTAGTTGCTTCTTCAAATTTCGCCAAAGCCTTACCTACATTTTACCGATATCTGCAGAATAAATCAAGAAAACTACACAAATTTACTCCATTTAGGAATTCCTAACGGTTTGGCCGAACGCGCGGCACAGTTGGAGGCGTGGCCTGTTCAGCATTTGTCAACAACCAATCACAAGACTGGTTACGAACCACATCGAGGTTACGACTCGGTTTAGCCTTGCTCAACTGGTTTGTAGGAGATTTTGTAGGAGTGAAAATATAACTGTCGTCTTAAAGACAAATTTTTGTCTCACCTACACCATTAAATCATCAAATAGAAGCCATAATTTAAATTTACAGTTCATGTACACATAGGTACTGGTATTCATGAAAAACCTTTTCCCATGGACTAGAGCAAGTAAAATCAAAGAGCAGTTGTCTCTATTACATAGCAGTGTTGGAATTCAATTCAATTTCAATTTTAAACACTCTGCTTGGGTTATGATGTTATAACAATTATTCTATACCTTCTCGTAATTTGTCCATTTTAGCCTTTTCTCTTTCGGATTTGTCATAATACCACGTTGTAATAGCATACCTACGAAAAAATCTTATAGTGTTTAGTAAAACATTTAGTACAAACCCTCTAGTGTTAGCATTTATGAGTTCCTTTGTTTATCTGGTTTTCAATTTTACAAACGAGTTATGTTCCGATTTCCTATTTGTGTAATTATATTTTATCAATCACTGTACAATAACAACCCCTTGATAATGAATGATTTTTGTTGCTGTAGCAGGTCAATCCTATGATCATCTCAATTTTAAATTTAGGAAGCACCTAACAGTCCACACCAAAATGGGCCAATTCATTGTGTTCTGATTATATAAAATAATTAACAAAAATTTCAAACAAACACTGAGCCCATCCACTTCACACTCACTTTTTTTAAATGAACCTCCTTGTTAAGAATGTTGTAAAAAGTAATTATTTAACTATTAATCAACTCATCCTCTCTGGCACAATAGTAGTTCAGATATTTGCCTCTCTGTATATACTTTTTGTTATTGATTTCAAACCAAACAAATATATTATTGCGTTCAAATTTTGAAAAATTGTGATGAAAACAATTTCAAAAAATATTTTGAATTTTGATAATTTTTTGGGGGTTTTAAAAATTAAAGAGAAGAAATAAAAAAGAAAATATGGCAATGAATCTGAGAAATCTTGTATTGCTTGGTATAAGAGTGAATCACCTAATCAGCTTACCTTGTACTGAAAGCTGGCTGCACTTCATGTGGATTTCTCATATCGGACCAGAATAGCAGCAACCGATTCATAATCGGCTCTACGTCAACGTAATCTTCCTCATTAGGGAAGATTCTCAATAAGCCACCGGACTTCTAGAAAGACAAACAAATGAAACGTTTCAAATATGGTATTTATTAACATGTTTTATACTTGAAATATTTAATTAATAAATCCACAAGTTCACGGCTATGTATTCTATTACTCTATATCAGACTTTTCAAAAAAAAAAATATGAAATAATATTTACTTTCACATCCCAGTTTTCATTCAAGTAAAATAAGCATGTAACATGTCTTCCATCTTCGTTTGGATTGTCAACATGACGTATATAGCCGCTACCTCCACCTGGATAACACGTAGCCATAATCTACAGAGAAAATGACCGGATCGGTTTGTTCAAATTCATTCCAGTAAAAGAAGTGATCAAGTTGACAATTGGAGATTTTTTCAGACAGTGTCTATCCATTTGTCATACATTTTTGTACTTATTTTCCATAGAACACAATACCCCAGTACTGAACAAAAATTTAATTTTTTACCCTATTCCGAAATCATGACAACACAAAGTACCCAATCAGGAATGATATATTGTTTACCCTACGTGACCACACACAAATCTGACGAGAAATGTCGTCACCAAAGAAGCCAATGATAAAAACTGGGAAAATGGCCACCATGGATGTAAATATTTCATTTTTCATGCTAAAACCCTTAGAGCACTGCAAAATGAAAATTTGAACCAATTCTTGTATATTTTCACAAAACCATAAAAAACTTTCCAATTTCCAATTTACATGAAAAAAAAAGTTCTATCAGGATATTATAATAACATATTTTTTAAAATTGTGGTCGTATTTAAAAAAAAAAGCATGTTCAACTTGATCCTATTTATGAGGACAAATTAAGAAAACATTGAACTGTTTTTGAAACTTTGGGTAGCTAAAGAGAACAGCAAAATTTCAAAACAAAAGAAAGTGGGTATCTCACTTGTACTATTTACTTACAAAAAAAACTCTGATACAAGCCCACTACCACAAATGGTTTTGGCATGTCAGTACTCATGCCTAACTAGACAGACAGGAAAGCTCCATTAATGGAAATGAAATTTAGAACGGTTTTATTCTTTAAACAAGATTTATTATTTATTCATAAATTAAAAATAATACATCAATTCCTGTACATTAATTATTCAGAAAATTGTATGAATTGTAATATTTATATCATTCATTCAGCTATGTTAATTATTATACATATATTTATATAATCTAAAAAATTGTCGATTTTGGGAGCATTAAGGTGATTGAAAATGTTGGACTATTTTTATGAAACAGAAATATGAAGCCATAGCAACACAGACAAAGACGCAGTGAAATGCTGCAATTTTAAAGATTAACAGATTTATTAATTCTAATTATATTAATTAGTTAATTTGTTTGCTCACCTTAGTTCGTCCTCCAATAACAAATTGTCCCTGAGAAAATAGATTAAATTTTGCCACTAGAGAATCAATACTGTCAACAAGTAACTTTATGTGAGGATACTCGTCCTCGTTTCCATGCAACCAAGTTATCTTATCACCTCGTAACGCCAATTCTGTTTTCTGTTTTGAGGCATCTCCACTCGTCCTGCCACCACTCAGTCGACCATCTTTGAAAACACCCGTGTCCTGAAGTCGTTTCACATCTTCCAATATTTTACGCGGGTCACATTTTTTACAAAAATTATCGATAATGCTAAAACCGCGTTGAGTCATATTTCTTATAGCAAATTCAGCTAAATAGCCCAGGCTATATTTTTGGGGTTTGGGAAAACGAATAAGTTTTAGTGGTCTGGCATCGAAACGCTCGTCCTTGAAAAGTTCCGGTTTTTGGCCATCGTCAAGCTGTGAGCCTCTCTGCAAGTGGACGGGGTAAACTGATTTCGAAATTTGCGCCACGCACGATGTTTTGTGCACTTTCCAGTGTTGCTTCTGGTGTTCTCTGCTGCAGTAATGTACCACGTGACAACGGGAACAACGCTTCAAGTCCTCGATTTTCTCACAAACAGCACAGCGGGATTCCGTCACGTCTCCCGCGTCCGCCATGTTGATGTCGTATGTTCGTTTGCACTTTGTGTTCTTCTGTTTCTATTTTGTGGGACCATTCATTGTTACCGGGTTCAAACTATTTGACCTACATTTCTGATGTTTCCTTTGTAAGTACTTCTGGGTAAAGTGGTAACAAATTACCAAAGTATTTGCTGAAAATAAGATTGTGTCAGTTTTTTGTTGCTAGCCCAGCAGTCGGAACTCTAAACTTTTAGATTTGGGAGAAACCATTATTTTATAAGTGACTAAATAAACGGGAGCTATCCGGGGTAGTTTAGATCGTTTTAGGCGAATAACAAGTAATTCAAAATTTCTATAAACTTTTTATTCAGCGTTCGAAGAATACGCTGCTTAAAAATACTCAGTCAGAGATTATTTTTGCTAATATCTTGTAATAGAACATTCTCAATATTTTTTAAATTAAAAAAAAAAATATATCAAAGTGTAAATGACAATACAAGCAGTGTGCACTTCAAAATTCATGCTTCCCCAACCTGGAACTAGAACCAACTTTTAGTGGTACCAGACAGGTTAACACAGGTTATAATACAACATTTATTTATTACACTATTAAATTGAAATAATATTAATTTTAGATGTGGTGTAATAAATGAAAGTTGTATACCGGGGTAGATGAAAATAAAAAATGAAGTGATGTAGAAAGTTTCTTGGCAATACAAGATCTATATATTGCACATTTCTACTCTCAATGGTGAATGTGATATTGCTCTCAATGCGTTAATGGTGATATAACCCTAAATGTGTTACTGGTGATATTGCCCTCAATATGTTAATGGTGATATCGCCCTCAATATGTTAATGGTGATATCGCCCTCAATATGTTAATGGGGATATCGCCCTCAATATGTTAATGGAGATATTGCCCTCAATGTGTTACTGGTGATATTGCGCTCAATGAGTTACTGGTGATATTGCCCTCAATGTGTTACTGGTGATAGATCATGGATCTATAGTAAGTCCATGATGTGACCAACTGTTCGCAATGCATTAGTGAGTCACACTGAGTCCTGCTTTGTTGTAATTGATTGGCTCCAGTACATTACTATGAGAATTTGCATGCACAGACAGACTGACTCGTATGCAAGGGCTGCCCATAGTCCTCCAGACCGACTCACTAGTCTATTATCTGTAGACTTTTCAAAGTCTCACGATAACAGACGACATCTAGTCTACTTTAGTGTTCACCTTGTTTTTTTGTTATTAAATATATTGATCAAATCGTGTGCCCAGTATTTTCAAAAAACCAATGTTCAAATGTCTATACCTGCATTAGTTTTCCAGATACATATATAACGAGTCACATGACCATATATGGTCATAAAATAGGTTGATTCGTTCTAGTGTGCAATATCTTCAATATAATACTGTGTGAATGTCCATCTGCAATAGGTCTCCTGATATGACTCTGTATCGACAGACTGTCACCGCTGGTTACCGCCATATCCCCTTGCCAGCACTATGTGTCGAGGGATGATAAGACGTGTAAGCAAGTCTACTTTACAAGCCACAATCATTTCTATACAACTCATATTAAACATGATGTAAATTACTCTGAAGACATTTATTAAAATTAATCTGGATTAAAGAATACATTTGTAAAACTTTCCAGACTTCAATATCTAGCATGTTATATGGCAACACAATGGCAGTAGATAGTGTCTGTGTATAATTAGTACACTAGAAAATCAACAAATTACACTGATACTTTTCTTATCTTGGTCACTTTAAACTGAATACATTATATACATAAGTGACATTTTCAAAATCATGCCACACATCATTATGTTCCAACATGTATTCATGTGCAACATAAAATGTTCAACATGCATTCATGTGCAACATAAATGCTCAACATACATCCATGTGCAACAAAATTTTTTGATATACTTCCATGTGTAATTTAAATGTTGAACATTGCTTCCAGTATTTTGTGTATAAGTACCACATAACCTTTCCTATGTACAACATCTATTAAAGTGCAACATAAAATGGTCACATCTTTCACTACTTAACAATCTTTCTCAATTTCAATATTATATAATTCTAAATTTCTCAATTTCAATATTATATAATTCTAATATTCAACATGTATACATGTGTAACATAAAAAGAAAACTTTTTTTTCGTTTAATGTAAGGCATATCGAAAAAGAAACTCAGTCATTCAGCGCTGCTCTGTAAGCCTCAGGAACAGCATCTAAAACACCTATTGACAAAACAGAATTCAATTTTGTTAAAATTCAAAAGATTTGGAGGGAGACCAAAAGCTGTGCAAGTTGCAGAATGTAGAATCTAAACATGAATGCAATTGATATTGCGCCCTCTACATGGCCCATGCAAACGATTTTGTTTTTATTTGAAAATTATGTCAACAGACTCAGAACCAATATGCTAACATGTTCACACGTAACATTGTCAACTGACCTTTTCCTTGGAGTACTTTTCTACTGAAGAGTTTGGCATAATATCTTTGTCCAGTGTCACACAAACATGTGACAATTGTGTGTCCTGGACCCATCAGTCTTGCAGCCTGCACAAAAAGACAATACAGATGTTGGTCTTAAATCAATTTCATGAGACAATGCGACCAGATGCATCACCATAGCATGCAATTTGCATACTGAAATCTAGTTACATCATTCTTCTGTATTTACAAAATTACATGGTGTTCTGCACATTATAGTTATGTCTGTTAGTCAATCAACATAATCTTAGCAAGCAATTAAAGTATAACAGGACATTCACTGGACAGAAAATTGAAATAATCATGTATTCTAGATTCATAGTATATATTTTTTATTATTATTGACTTTATTTCTTTATTGACTCATCATCACTCAAACATAAAATAAAAAAAATAAGTAAATAAATAAATAAAAAGGAACATGATCCTTAAAACAACTTAAAAAAAAAACATCTGTGAAGTAACTCAATATGAATATATAACACTCTTCCAATGTATTCTAACTTTGGATGACCATTTCAGACTTGAGGCAAAAAATAGATCTAATGGATACATTCTCAAATACATAAAGCGGAACACTATACTGCTAGTAACAGACTGACAAGACTGCACATCAAATATACACAAGAGCAAATAAAAAAAAATTCATTGAATTCACCTGAATAGCACCAGCGACATTAAGGCCAGAAGAAGCACCAACAAAGAATCCTTCTTCATGTAACAATCTGAAGGTCTGAAAAAAAAACAAGCATAATCACATTGTCATGGTAACAGCTTGCATTTCCAGTTTTTGACACAAAGTAAGTCGTAAGTCAACTCTAGGAAATTACACAATAAAAAACTTGGTAGCGATGAACGTGGCAGTGGGTGTGATTTTGAAAAAAAATCTGTACTGTGACAACAAATCTGTACTGTGACAACAAATCTAAAAGAAATTTACAGAGAAAAAATATTGAATAAAAAACACACATATTTGACATTGAAAAACAAAAAAAGAAAGTATTTTTTTTAAAGCAACAACATTCTGAAAAAAAAAACTAGCTCAAAACTTCGGTAAGTGAAGAATTTGTTTACAGTATTTCCAGCATCACCCAAACCTACTCAAGAGAGTTTCTAATAGTCATGGTCTAACTCAACAACTTTAATAAGTATTAAATCATTGAAATATGACTCAATACAACCATCAAAACACCTCTGTCATTTACGTAAATGCATGCACTATAAAGCATTTGATGAAAGGTAAACAATGTTGAAGTTTGGTATGGCTGCAGGGTTAGATTTAAAGTCAAGAAGTCAGCTGACAAGTCACACAAAACATAGTGACACACTTAGATATATTGGTATGATTTTTTTATTTAAACAATTCATCGTGATAAATTTGTGTTCACAGGATCACTTGTCAAATTTAATACGCCTCAATTACATGTTAATACTGACATACAATTTGATTGTCTAATGTCATTCAGACGACAATAACAACAACGTTTTATATTTTACACTGGATGTGCAGATGTCACCAAATGATTGATTATTTTTCATGGTACAGACCACACAGACAGTGACCGAACTACAAACAAATGTGCTCCTTCATTAAAAACTCTTTGAATGAAGTCCTTAGTTTATCGTAATGTCCTAATAAGTGTAACCAGTTCCATGTGAATACAGAGCAAGTAGTGCAGACGTAATTTTCAGATTGTACATTGCGGTCGATTTATTTTCACTAAAATGAGATACAATCAAAATATCAGAAAAAAACTATTAAAATTATTTCCTATTTATGATTACCAGTTGTCATTTATGAAATAAATATTCTTTCACAGTTGTTGTGCATTAACAGTTGTATGTAAACTTTTCATTTCATGTGACACATTAGATTAAATACATATTAAGATTAAGGTATAATCATACTCATAAATAAAAATACTCAGAATTTATTCATTTTGCACTAAATTTTACTCCTGGTCAATATAAGAATATTTATTTAAAAAAAGTTGAGGGTCACCTGCATATTTTTGTATTTTTTTTGAAAAAATGTTTTTTTGGTTTCTTTGGCATAGGTTGTGAATGATAGGATTATTCTGAATTATTTAAAAAGATCTGGTTTATGAAAAATAACAAAAAAAGATTTTTTTTTTAAACTGGGTTCTATATGAAATTGTTCTGAAAATAGCGAATTTTAGAAACAATATTAAGATTAATGACCAACTATCCAAGCAATTATGAGTATGCTTCTACCTTAAGTGTACACATGACATTATTGTGTGTGATCACGATCATTTCATTTCATGTATATCCTTACCCATTCAACAGCTTCTTTATCTGTGACGAGGAACGCATCATCAATGGGAGCTCCTTTGAGGTTTTCTGTGATTCGACCTTGACCTATGCCCTCCGTTATTGAACTTCCCTCAGATCGTTCAAGTTTACCGTGTTTGATGTAATTATAAAGTACACTACCCTGTGGATCAGCTAAATAAGCTTGAATTTTATTATTTTTTTCTTTAAGATAAGTTGCAACACCTGTGAGAGATAAAGACAAGGTTTGAAAATCAATAAAAAGATCAGAAAGACAAATGTCCGAATGTTGATATTGTTATTAACCCTTTGAGCACCCTTACATCTTTTGGAGAATATATGCAGATTATATTTTGAAAAGTGACAAAATTAAAGGATGGCAGTCGTCGTGCCGCGTCCTGTTCGAAATGAGACTCATAGCGACGTATACAACGCATGTAAAATACACTGTTTATTTACATGAAATTCAAACATGCACTGCGCGACGACCATCTCATTTTAAACTCAATGGTTTACCAGATATGCTCTTCTAGAATATAAGCATTACTATAGGCCACTTTAGATCCAGGGAGAGCACAATCCTAAACTGAAAAACAATTCTAAAAATTCCAAATGTTTATATATGTTATTGAATATGTTTTTTTAAAATTGAACTATTTTCTCAGTCCCTTTGATACAATTTTATGTGGCAATAAAAATCCAGAGACTCACCTGCTAAAGTTCCACCAGTTCCCGTACCAAACACAACAGCATCAACTTTACCATCTGTGATTAAGAAAGATTGACGTAATAAACAAGCTTATATATGAAGGTGTGAACAATAAGTGACAAGAACACAAATGTATGATAATTAAAGAACTGATTGTTATTTAAAATAACTGTAGGAATAGACTTTGAATACAAATGGCCACTGAGATATCGTTAAAAGTGAGAGAACACAAGACACAAGTTGTTTTTGCATATCAAATAATGTTCATTTTTTTCTGTCATTATGTCCACTGTTCCGAATACCATCTTTACACACACAAGGTGAATGGCATGATGGGGGATAATTGATCACTATGTGAGGGTTAAAACAAGTCTCGATCTCACTCTAAACGGGATCTTGGCTGCCATTTTTGTCTGAGATCTATTCTGACTGGTTGCCGAAGTGGAACATTTTATTATTTCATTGTGAATATACTTTCTTTACTTTCAAAAGTTCTAATTGAAAACTAACTAATTTTTTGATCAGTTGTTAAATTTGCCTATAATTCCTAAACCATATTTTAACATTTTGTAAACATAAATGGTTTTCATAATGTTTTACTTGAAGTTATACATATAAATATACCTGTTTGTTGCCATATCTCTGGTCCTGTCGTTTCTATATGAGCTCTTTTATTTGCTGTATTATCAAACTGATTAGTCCACACTGCGTTGTCTATACTATCCGCAAAACGCATCGCCTACAAATCAAATGGAATATGAAATAGTGGTGAGAGATAAGTACTTTATTCATAGTGGAAGGATATTCAGCAATTGATGCAAACTGTACAGAGAGACAGGACAACCTGGCTGATGAAGTAACTTATGTATTTATATGTAAGTGCATGGACTGTATTTTGTAACTAAAATCTATATGCTTTTGGAGGTCTGCACGGTCACTACTACAACACCTAGGATCATTGATTGTTTTATTTCATTGAGAAAACCAGGAGGAATAAAAGTCTCTTTCATATATTTATTGATATATATTGTAGGTCATGGTGTAAATGACCTATGTGGATGATTCCCCCAGAATCATGTGATCTATAGATTTCAAATTTATTGACCATCAGTCCTAGGTGTTGTAGGAAAGGTTTTCCATGGATTTTCACCTAGTAACTATTAGAGGTACCAGTAGTTCGCTTCCATTAAAACAAAAAATTTAACACAGTAAATTCCTTCGAAAATTTTTGTGTGATGATGCAAGTCATCCATGTTTAAAGTTTTTGGGGAGAAAGAAGGATGTGTTTTCAAGAAAACATATGCAAAATAATCCAAAAAGTTGCCATTTTGAAACATTTTCCATAGGAATCCATGTAAACACATTATTTCAATAATAACTTGTACTGATATTTTTGTGATAGCCACAAGTAGCCCTTACAAAACTAAATATATTATTTTAGCATAGGTCACTGAAAATATTTTGAAATATGATTGAATTTTTCTGCCAAAGGAACCACTTGTAAACTACCTGATACTCAAAACTTGCATTTTTGAGGTCGTTTGGGGAAAAAATTTGGTGACCATATATTTTTATTTCAGAATTTTGAACATTACAGTAACCCAATCCCTCTGAATTTTGAGGATTTCTGAGTTTGTTTTTTAGTGGTAACGAACCATACCATAATAGTTAACAACACTATAGCCTTGGAGCCCTTCCATCATAATAGCATTGTTCAAAGAACAGGGCATAGTTTACAGTGTTGTACCTACCATAGTATTCGTCCTGAATATAAAAATATTGTCAGACCCTGGCAAGTTAATAAACTTAACAATTAATTCATCAACCAATGAAAAACTGTCCAGGACTATTTCAGAAGGTTAATAAAGTTAATCTACATTTGATTAAATTGAAGTTAATATCGATATCAAGGTATTTGAAAATGAACAACCAATTAAATTTATATTAATCAAGATTTAAGTTATAATTAAATGATGGTGTAATAAATCATATACCCTATTAACCTGTCAGGGCCAGCTCACCTGATGATTGTAGTTATTGGGGTCAGTGAAAGCCACTGCTGGTACTGGCCTAACATCAGCACCCAGAGACCTAAGAAGATCAATCTTTTCCTTGGACTGTGTATCTGGCATATATATAACACACTTAAATCCCATAGCATTACAAATATGAGCCAGTCCAATACCTTAGAACACAAAATAAACCAAATACAGAACGCTATATGAACACCATGCAGAGAAATTATAAAAATCGAAATATATATGTATTTAAAATTAAAAAAAAAAATTTATGGTAGTATTTAAACACACATACACTCGGTTTCATAAAAGCATGATTTTCAGATGACGTTTGAAAACTTGATCAATCACAATGCTTCAACAGGTGGGTAAATTCTGCTTATAAAGAATGACTTTAGTAAGCATATGGCAGTAAATCAACCAATTAGTGAAAGGAACCTGCAAATAAATTAAATAGATTCCTAAGCCAATGAGAGCGTCCTCCAGTGTAAATGATCTATAAATATTTTATAAATTTTACATGAAAAACATTCACGCCCATATGAAACAGTGTGTATAATGGTTGAACAGCTTATTAATAGTTTACGATATAGACATGCCTGTGTTTCCTGCAGTTCCTTCAACCACTGTCCCACCAGGTTTCAGCTGGCCTGAAACAGATAAACATAAACAAATTATTTTTAATTTTTATAAATATTTATAAATGCAACTATTTTATGAGTCTCATACAATACAAATAAGACAACAGGATTGGCCAAATCACCAAATCTGTGACGTCACTGTTCGAACTTATAGTGGGTTTGACTGCTGTCTGAGTCAATAAATATTAAGTTTATAAATAATTTAAAACACACACAACTTTGCTGACAACAGTGTAGTGAGAATAATCTTTATGGGCTGGATACATCTTGCAGTCGAGGTCATGCAGCAGGAGAAGCCATGGAAGCTTGGGCGTGTGAGCCATACAACCAAGGGCAGCAAAATCCATATCCAGGCCATACAGTTTCTATCATATGCCTTATTTTACCATGACGTAACTTCAAACACACAACGTAATTTAGAATGACGTGAAAGCCCGCATGAAATTGAAATGAAATACATGAAATTATTGCCCTGATGTGAGGGCGCACTTCCCATAGAGTTACAAATATGAGGTACATATGTAAATGATAATATTTAGTTATGATTTCTAAATCAAGTTTAATATTCAATTCCTGAAGAATTGGTTTCAAGATATATAACAATTTTTGTCAATGTTCTTGAAAGCTAGTAACCAATACAATACAATCTTGACTTACCTTTCTCTATGGCATCTTTGATTAGAAAGAGAGCCGCTCTGTCCTTGACTGAACCACCACCATTTGCAAACTCTGCCTTCACCGCAATTGTACAACCAGTTGCCTCACTTAATTTATTAAGTTTCAGTAAAGGTGTCCTATAGATAAAATGATTATAGTAGCCTTGGTCTAAATTTATGTATAGGTATTTCAAGCATACAGCTACTTAGCAAATAAAACCCAGAGATATAATAGTGATATATTTGTGTAGAATATACATTACGGCAACTAAGGAGGGTCACGGCCATGCTTTTTGCATTCATAATTCAATAAAACTAGATTTGTAATGTTCATTTTTACTCATGCTTTTAATTTTTTTTAAATCAATTTTAATTATGAAATCAATAAAATAATTTTAGAATGCAAATAATAATGTTAATTATGAATGCTTATATATTTATATATTTAAGTTTGGCCGTTCCTTAGTCTGTGCTAACCACTGCTAACCACCCCACAACGTGAACACAACTGAGTCTATCTGATATGTAAACATATCTTAGCACTCTACTACTAGTACTATTGTTTGCTGTACAGATTTTGAGATTGTTGCTTACATGCTAGCATCAATTTAAATGGACAATAATTAAGTGATGAACTTGGAATTTCACACTGGGCAAATATTTTCTAATGATTTTCAAAATATTATAGTCACGGATACAATTAAAATAAAAAATCATGGAGAACCAAAAATAATAAATGAGCAAGAAATAAAAAAGAAATAAACAATGCTATTCAGAAACTGAAAACGGGGGATGATGGTTATCACTCGGAATTTATAAAATATAGTTCAGATTGTTTGATAAAACCATTCCAAAAAATATTTAGTTTGATACTGGTAACAGTGACATATCCAGAGATCTGAAATATAAGTAATATTGTTACATATTTTTAAGAAAGGTGAAGTTGATAATCCATTGGAAAAATGTTCTGTACTATTATAAATAAAATAACCAATTATATAGAGACCAACAATAATCTAAATAGTAATCAATCAGGATTCTGTAAGAGTTATTGAACAATAGAAATTTAAGTTCTGAAAACATTAGGGAATAAATATCTGTCCTAGAAATGAAAAGTTTATACATGCTTTGTAGACATTCAAAAGGCTTTTGATAATGCCTGGGAGATGGAAATTGCTTGATAATGGGATTAATGATGACATTTTTGAAATAATTAAAATTATGTATCACAATACTAAAGCATGCATTTATTTTAAAAACAAAATCTCAATTTTTTTTCATTTCAAACATCATGACACTGACAACAGTAACTAGTTTAGCTCAGTATTTTGTCTGTCTTGTGAACAGGGCATTTCTATTTTAGTATGTATTACACAAGTAGAGGTTAGAGGTGAAAGTGGTCAACTACTACAAATAAAATGTTTAGGTCAAACAAATAACCTCTTACCGTCCAACCATTCCAACAAAGCCATCTCTGATAGAATCCTACATGTAAAATAAATAAATACATAAAATTAAATTTAAAAATTTATTTTTATTTACGGTAAGGTTATGCAAATGAACTATTATATAAATAGCATAGACTCTAGAATGAGATCTATAGTAAAAGGTGTAAAGTGCTGAATCATAGTGACCATGCATAAGATATACCAGTTTTATATTTACGTTTTTAGATTAAAGCATGTGTGCATATATTGAAATCTGATATGAATTCAATACTGTGTTTGTATTTGTACCAAATACAATGTTGAAGAACCTAATGGCTAAGTGGCTATTTGCCCCATGACTAGGCAAATAAGAGATCCATTTCGTTATCTCTCGATGACTAGGCAAATAACAGATCTATGTCATATTCACCCCCGTAAATAATTATAATTTTTACAATAGTCTTCAAAACCGAATGCCGAAAACAAGCCAAAAATGCATGATATATATTTCACACCTACCCACAACCCTCATTCTAATTTCTGCCCCCCCCCCCACGCAAAAAAATCAACCCACCCAAATCACCTATGAGAGCTTCATGTATGGTCTATACCACTACATGCATTATACTTGCATTCCCATACGACCTAACAAAACTTTATCTGTACATTCAACAATTGCCACTAATGAGTAACAAGTCATAATCGTGAACATTTTAACAGTGTTATTATTATAAATATAGTTGTGAACCTGTTTTTGTCTGCATATCTGACAGATTCAGTATCAGGTCCATCGTCTAGACCATGGAACTAAGGGGTTTGTAGTTCCATGTCTAGACTGTGTACCATATTGTCTATTGAGCATTGTTCAACGCTTTCGTTCAGAGATTCTGAATTGTGACTGCATGCGACTGGTACTACAAATCGTAAACAACATACATCGACGGAAATTACGCTATTATATAGGTAGAGAAACGTTGAGTGGTTTGGCACATGAAAATAGAACTTCTTAAAAACTTACCCCACTTAAATACCTCAAGAAAAATCTGCTCAGCTGTCGCATATGCTGCTGGGAGCCATGATTTGCTAGAGTGCGATGTAAGGCCATGTTTCAACTGGTGCCTCAGCTGATTTAGTTTGCTGACGAAATCCCACTGTGAAATAACCTTTGACCCAGATCACCTGATGTACTAATGAATGGACGAATCAGAGGACGAATGAATGAAGGCATGAATGGTTAGCTTTTTGGCATTGTTCCACATTTGTAAATGTAAGGGCCGGACCATTTGATATCCTGAGTACTCGCAGGTATTTCGGGGGAGGGATGCAAATATATATTTGCCAGAAAAAACGCAAACAAGGAAGGTGAAGCAATGCAAAACAAATTGCAAAAGTTTTTTTTTTTTTTTTTTTTTTTTTTTTTAAATGAAATCTGTAAATCTACCAAGATGCCAAAAATATTTCCTCATGACATCATGTCAAAACAAACTTTAAAGGTTAAACAAGTTTTCATTTATTTTCTTTCTAGGATTGAATATGATTATAGTACATTTACTTTCAGTAAATTATAGTTCCATACTCATTTACAAGTTTACTATCTTTCTTTTGTAAGTCGGTTAATGAAATGAAAAGCGTTAACAATTATTATGTATGACAGACACTTCTACAAACGAACATCTCCGCCCAATCACCGACAAACCGATTTTGCGACAAAAGTACAGAAAATATTCACCAGTCTACAAAATGTGCAACCTAAAATAGCACCACGAGTTAGTAAAATTCTCACACACGTATCAAAAATCGAAAAATAGAAACTGATAAGTAACTTTTAAGAAACCACAAAATAAATTGTGTGGACTAGACTCCCTATCTACTTAACATCTATCACCGGTATAGTCGTATATATCACTCTAAAAAGTACTTTTCCAGACATACCCAAACTTGCACTTGAATGTGCGTCCGGTTCCCGAGAAATCATAACTTGGAACCCTGAATTGAGGGGGAGTAGCTGGTACAGCTTGCAGGACATAAAAAAAGGCATTTACGTTTTTACAGGAAATAAAATGAAAGTTCCATTTCCGGTAAAAATAGATTTTTACACTTTACAGATAAAGTAAATTTCTAATTGCATTTTACATGTTTGATAATTTGTGTTTAAGAATCAAAGTTGGAAATTGCGCACGAATTGCGAAATGCTTTATACACTTACAAAAAATAAGATCTTTGTACAAATTACGAACGAATAAAATAGCTGATTGTACACCTTGCCAATATCTACGAATTTACGTTTTTTTTATTTATTTGAATTACATTATTACGAAACTAAAAACAATTGATTACAGTTTACGAGAATACCCCTTCATTGTCGACCCTCTGAACTATCTAGCATCACAGTCCCTCCATGGAGGGACTGTACCAGTATCCAACCTCACATTTGTTTTTTTGTTTATAAGATTATCGAAAAAGATGTAGCTGTCACCTGTTGCCTAGCAATCTACGTTTAATACATTTCACAGTAATACGTGTTCAGAAAAATGTGACACTTGATCAAAAGAAACTTATTACCTGTTACTACAGAACAATATATTAAATTGTAGACAAATGTAAGTTGTGGAAAATGACTAATTTGAATAAATTCACTATGGCCTCTAATATGTATTTTTTTCATAATATTAATAGGTAGATTGAAGATGCTATTTCAATGTACAGTGCCAACGGATTATTTAAAATATTCAATGAATGTAATAACAATCAAAACAGTTTATTGGTTAAAATGTCTTCTTCAGGTATATTAATGAGATACTTTCCGTCAACAATCCTTCAAGCAATAATTATCTGTTTATGATATGTCCATATAAACTTGAAATAAAATTTGACTCTAATGGTAACTTCTCTATGTTTTTAGATAGAACGTCGTATCTCAACATTCAACTGATTACAAAATACAACAAATCACTTAGTTGGCAGCTGATCTCTTATTGTTTTAACATTGTTTGTGGCTGATTATTTGGAGGAACACTCGGGTGGTAGATGGTAGATCTAGTGGTAAAAATGACAAATTGATGCAGTCAAGATTCTTACAATGTTATATATGTGAGGAGAACATAGAAGAACATATTAGCGACAACATCATAATTACTAGTATCATTGTAAGAACTGATGTTCAATACATCCCCATGAATATTCCCATTTAATAAAGCCCCTTCAGATTCTGAGCTGAGAAATTAAGAATTGTTAAAGTTGTTTCAGACTGTCAGGATATTTCAAAATATAAAG